ACACCATGTACCAACTACCTTCATCACTAGTACTGTCGTTCACGGGGTATTGACGGACACTGGGTGTTGGACAAGCCAAAAAAGAGACAGCCAAGCCAAGTTTTGCCTGCAATCCGTCAACACCCAGTGTCCGCCAATACCCCGTGAACGACAGTACTTCCCCTAACAATCTCATTTAAGGCTACCATAATCATGACTGAGTCAAGGAGATGCATCCGAAGACCGAAGCACAAGCGGTCAGGCAAGCGATTTGAGCTCCAAGCGAGTACCAAATCACCCGGGCTGTGAAGGCGATGTGCCCATGCGCAGTCCAATTCTCCTTTCAAAATTGCGGGGAAACTCACGTTTTACGTCATGGACTTGATGTGAGACCTAACTATCTGTTTTCTCTTTGGTTTCGTAGACGTTGTGTGCGCAATGTTTCACAATTCTGAATGAGAACGTACCACCACTTTCGAATGCAAAAGCTGATAGTACCTCTAGCCTCCCAATTATCCGCTTTCATAAATATCGGCAATTATATTTCAAATACTCGACGCAATTTCTGCGCGGAAACTCGCACCATCTCCCTTAGGAGCTGATGCTAATGAAGAGCGTACCAATCAGATACCATATGGCTTGTATAGGATGACATCTGTTGGATTGAAAACTATATTCACGGAATACAAATGTTCGACAGCGCCATCACCAATGTTAGTACGAAATTTCTGCGCACGATTCTACTCAAGATGCATCCGTATGCATTGATACTTTGGCATTGACTTGGAAACCGAAATGATTATATCGTTCGAACAGCCTTCCTCACGAATGAAGTATGGCCCAACTTTTATCGGAGATAGGAAGGTCTACCCCATCAAGCTGGGCCGACATATCATCGCCTTTCTTGGATTATGAGTCGTGGACTCTAGAGATAGCTGAACTGTGTCTCTGAACCTAGGCAAACAACGAAGGTTGCTATACTAGTTTCATGCTTAGACAAAACATGCGCATCAAAAAGACGCCATGAAACGGCAAATTGTGTCATTTGAGGATCACTAAACGACTCCTTCGAGCAACTTTACTTGGCTCAGGATAGCTTTTCGATACCTCTCGAGAACTAAAGTAAACTCTCGTGGCATGATAGGTATTGTTATGACAGGCGATCTACGCGCGCACAATTTAAAAGTCCTACATAAAGATTAATAATATCTATCAGATTACACTCAGCTTTGATAAATCTCTCAAAGAAACTAGTGGCCATTGTGAAAGAACGGGCATCAGACAAGAAATTATGATGGGAAATCACTACTTCTGAGGTCGCCGTTTAGGTATACGAGTGATAGGAGGCGTGTCTAGTTTCTACGCACTGAAGAGGACCCTATAAAGCTATCATTCCTCGTCATTGATTTCATAAATGATGCTGTAACTTGAGCTTTCATCTCCGCCTTCTCAATTCTACTCCCCAATGTTGGTTTTAAAATACAGTCAAGCGCTAATTACTCAGTCGATTCTTTATTCCTTCTACAGGATTATACTAGTGCTTAGACTCACTTGATACTAGGGAGTTTATGAGAACCTAGTATATCACATAGTTATGGCTTTGCCAAAGTCACTTGTGACTTCAAATCGAACTAGATTAACTGGTTCTAGTCGCTGTATTGATAGGTTTCTTATTCGAAGACTATCAATACTTAATTTAGGTTTCTTCCTCCATTATAATTAGCTTTACGAAACATGGCTTACTATCCAGATCGCAGTATTTTCACTGTTTGTCTAGTATTTATATTGCTGGGGGAGCAATCACAAGTCCGAGACTCTTAATTTCAGTTTTAAACATAGGCCATATGCACTATTTTGCGTCGCAAACGAGCCCCGGGAACTAAATAAATGACAGCGATGGAAATGCCCTCATATTGTCAAGGCGAGATGTCGAGTGACAAATTGTGATTCATTTTTATAACAAAATTAGGGCACATCCGAAAATAACATGCGCCTGAAACTCTCGATATGAGGTCAAGGAATATCGCGAGGCGCTTTTCAGTCTCGAATGTATAGATCAAAGATCGACGTGGTCAGCGCAATAGATCTAGGTAGGCATCATGACACACCTTGCCGATTTCCGGCCTCGGCGTACGGTAGTATCAAAACCCGAAAAAAGAAAAAAAATGCTTGAGCTGCCTATCACGGCGACAGGACTCTCTTTTGATATCGGCGCCCGGCGTATACAGAGCCCATTAAAGCTGCAGTCGCCACTCGGGAAATTTGGGGGTTGCTACCTGGTTCTCATGGCGTGTGCGCCTAGCAATGAGGCTGAGTATATTTCTTCTTTTCAACACAATCTCAACATTCGTATCCTTTAAGGCAACCCTAATATGGTATGTTTCGACAACGTCTATCCCAACGTCTTATACGGTATTGTAGTTACACAATGAAGTGAGATTTCGACCCGATGATCTGCTCATCTTACTTATTCTAGCACTCCTTGTGTTCATAGAGGGGTGTGATACGGTTCCACAGGACCCTTGTACTCCCTAGGTAACATTTTTCGATGGTACAGGATGTAATGATGAGCCTGTCGGGTCTAACACGTGGAAGGCCTTGCCCTTAGCTATGAGTTTGATTGGAGCACTTCAATCGGAGAGGGCCGTTAATTACTGGCTTTCCCGCCTTTAAAGCATGGACCATCACTCGAACAGAGTTACCGGGCTGTCAATGGGACCAGGATTATCCAGGGCTGGTTTTCATAGGTCGGACCGGGCTTGAGTTGACTTCGTACCTGGTATTGGTTGCCCTATTAGCTGGCGAAATCTTACAAACCGCTAATAACAGTAAAATCTGAATAAAACAATCTCATAGCTTTAACTAAAACTTGAGGCTATCGGAACTCACCTGCACATACAGTGCAAAAGGCAACGTGCGACTATATTCCGTTCAATATAGATATTATAATCCGGTGCCCTGGGAGTTCCGCAGAGAGTGGAACCTTTAGGTGAGATAGTTATTTGAAATTCTCTACTAAACGCTATCGACGAAACACAGAACAAAGAGTTATGAGGATGGTAATTCACTAAGAGCCTTGGTGAGATACACGGAGAAATCCTGATAATGGGCATAAGACGAGGTGTTATCCAGACATTTCTTCGAAACTTAGCTAGTCCAACTGAAGGGCGAACGCCCCAAGACAAGGCCGAGAAGGCCGTGCCTCGAGAACCTAATAAGATGACGGCTCTTTGGGTGTGCTGAGTAGCTACGTAAAGCAGCGGCTCTTTTCACCACCAGGACAAACATAAGAAGTTAAAGACGGCACCCTGCTCAACACCCTATAGCAGCAGTGCGTGCAGTGCACTGGAGCCCGGAGCAAATGTTTTAGAAGCCGGATCCAGCTCCTAGCAGCAAAGATCTTTACAAGATGAGACTAGATCTAGATGTTCAGATGTCTTATTCGTGGCGTGCGCACCTACCGCGGCTTCAAGTGATGCATGAGCACGAGACATGACAGGGTCCGAGGAGATTGTTTATTTATTAATGTACATACATACAAAAGGAGCACTCAAACGTCTATCTATAGCTTTATCATGATTATTAACCCCTCCGCCTACTACTCTGTCCGCATTAACCACTGCTCTACATGATAGTGCATACAATCAAACCGCCCAACCCAGCCAGCCATCGTAAAGCTAAGGAGAGTAAGAAGAATAAAGTGATAATGACCTTTTTGCGGCACAGAATATCGATAACATCGAGAACATTTCAATTCCTCTATAAAAAACGTTCGTCTGTCCCTATACCAAATACTACATGTGATTATAATACCAACTATGAATGATACCTCTCGCTTTCTAGCTACTCAAACTAAACGATGTAACCGGATATCAAAACTGAAGAGAAAAACTAAAGGGGGGGAGGGCCATTAATTTTTGAAAACGAGGCCATGCGTTAAACAGTGCATATAACAGGCATTTAGTAAGAAAGCTTATGAGAAGGAAGATGAAAAATAATGCAAAGCTGGATCGATCGGAGATGTTAGGATTCAGAAAGCCCTACGATGGGTAAAAAAAAAAAAAAAAAAAAGTTGGAACTTGGGCTTTTAGAGAGAAAGAAACCAAAAACAGAAACAGATAAATGATGAAAGGAGGCGTGACGGAAGTTAAGGGAAGAGATAAACAAGAATAACAACACAACCGCCGCCGCCGCCGCCGCCGCCATACCCTCAAAACTACCACCCAATGACTACTACGTACTACTACTAGAATTTCCATCACGATGAATATATGCATATATCAACCCCCGTCCAACATGTCCCGTATAAATATAATAGTGGGGATCGAAGGAATAAAGGGAAACACCAAAAAAAAAAATAACATTGAAGAAATCCACGGACCCCATGCTGAAAACAAGAGAAAAGAGGAGAATGCTGCTGAAAGTAAAACCAAGATACAAATCCCCAATTTATCTTCAAAAATGTACCGAGAGCACAAAAAGACAAAGAAAAGCCCTTCCCGTAAAAAGAGTACCCCAAGAAAAATAAAGAAACTCCGCTTTAGGCTGAATGCAAATACACAATACAATCAACCAGAGTGGCAGAAGAGAAAATTCGAAAACTACTAATAAAACGAACTAAAAATTAAAAGAAAACACTCCTCTAAATCGAAGGATTTTCCCTCAGAAATCAAAGAACAAGGACACAAAACACAAAAAGGAAGATAAAGATAGGAAGAAACTAGAAGACATTGATATCAATCAGGGAGGGAAAGAAAACAAAAGGCACCTTTCCGGATAGCCTCAGCATTATTCCTTTTATTCCCTACTGTCGATAGTAGATTACTCCAGCAACTCGTTCCGTATTTTCCCTGTGTTTTCCAATCCACGTTGCATTAACCACCTAGTGGCTTGACTTTTAAGATCCCCCGAACTATTCCATCCTCCCCATAGGACATTACAATCTCATCAGGCTGGCTAATGACACCAAATCCCCCAAGGGGTGTAACTGAAGGATCTAGAGGAGATGGTAAAGGCTGTTCTCACACCTCCCCTTTACTCCTGACGACACCCCGCCTCCTGAAGAAATCCATGACCCTTCTGGCTGGACCAGTACTTCCGCCCGTTCCACTGACTTCTCCCTCCGTGAATTTCCTATTCTTCTGTAGAACAGTTGGCCGTCGGTTAACACCATTGCCACCTTCAATATCGACGCTCTCTCGTTCGAATCTGCCACCAGCAGCAGACGCCGGTGCCGATTCAACTGCCAGTGAAGTTTCCGAGCCAGTTTGAATCGATTCGTCTCTACCAGCGGTATGCGGTACGCCAAGTTGGGGTTGCGATGAGGTTTGGGGTTCTGCTGGCGTGAACCGGTTTCCTGAGAGCCCAGATGTCCTTGAGGGACGGCGCATATGGCCTGAGCCAGATATGCTCTTGAGTGAGAAGCTTGTGGGCAACAAGCTGAATCGCCTTGATTTACCATTGGTTTTGTCGTGCTTGGATGGACGTGCACCCGGGTCGAGAGATTGACGAGGTTCGCCTGCGGCAGTCATCACGGGTCGAGGAGAAATCTCTGGCTTTTCAGAGCTGCCCATAAACTTGCCCAAAAACCTTCCTGGCTCACCACCAGCCCCACCTCCAACAGTATTCGCTCGTTTGTGGCCTTTGACAGGGGCCTCGGGTTGAGTCGACGGTCTGGTTGTATATTTGGCTGGTAAGACCGCTGTGCTTGGTTTTCCCATTTCCGAGGATCCGATGGCCTCGCTGTTGTCCGGATGGGGTATCGGGTTGCTGATGGTGTACGGTTTTCCGCTTTTCGGCGTTGCAATAATTTTCCCTTGAACATTGTTAGCTGCGAGACTCGGCGCTACAGGTACAGGCCTCGAATAACTGGATCCACGTGATGGCATACGATTTGAATTTCCCAGAGAGCTTGCGGTTGTGGGCCTTGCAGATGTTGTCCCGACTTCCCCTGTAGTAAATGGCTTTCCAGTAACAGGTGGGCCAGATTTATCCTTGCTGGTTCTTCTTGATGGCTGTTTGGAGGTAGTCCCATCACTCGAGGCAGGCGCTCGAGATGGTGTCTGGTACGCATAACTTGCCGGCCTGTTCCTTGAAGATTTACTCTCACCAACTTGCAAGATTTCTCTCTCTTTACCTTTCTGTTGTTCTGTTGAGGATGTTGTTCTAGCGTGTCTAGACGGTGTGCCGGCTGTGGTTGCTGCCCTAACAAGATTATCGTGATGCTTACTAGTCGGAACAATGGGTGCGGGAGCTGCCGCGTCTGCTTCGTCCGCCTCTGGGGCATCGCTAGGACCTTGTTGATCGGGGTCCACCGCGGATCCTCGCTTAGTTTGTTGTCTAGGCTCGACGTATTCAACTTGGACCGTTTGCCTCTTCTGATCAACACGTGATTTTGGTTGGGTAGTCTGAGGCACAAATTCATGAGCATGATGCCTTTGACCCATAGCTCCAGTGGCAATTGTGTGAGGATGACTAGTTGTTGAGGAGGGTTCTCGTACAGAAGCTGCACGTGCAAGTGCGGGTCGGCCATCACCAGGGGTAGGTTCTTTACGTAAGATACTATATTAGCTTCCAAGAAGGATGGGTAAAAATTTATGATAATGAGGGTTTTGCGAACCATTAATTGTGACGGTTTCCGCCTGTTTCGAGTTGATCGTGGAGCTTGTTATCATGCTCACGACGTTGGAGAATGGACTCAGCCAACTATGTCTCGCAACTTCGAAGAGATCTGCACGCTTCCTTGGGTCCGGTACCAAGATCCTTCTAAGAAGATCCCTCGCATGTGGACTAACATACTCTGGGAAAGTCAATGGTGTTGAGACAATATATTTATAGAGCAAGTTAATGTTGTCCCCCTCAGGATTAGCCGGATCATCGTCAAATGGAAGATACCCAGCCAGCATAGCGTACTGTAAGTCTAATCAGTAACCGTTCGTGAGAGCTCAAATAAATAATTGAAAAAACAAACCAAAATAACACCACATGACCACACGTCAACCTTCCTTCCGGTATATAAACCGTCGCTTACTACCAACTCCGGTGCCGCATAACAAGGACTTCCACAACTTGTGGCCATCAAATCACCTCGCCTCCTGACTTGTCCAGGGCCAAGAATGTTTAGCAAGCTCGCCTCCGGTCCGACTCTTCGGTCGGGCGTATTCGGCACACCCTTTTCCAATTCCTTCAATAGTTCGGGCTCTTCCAACCGATCCTCCAGCTCTCCAAGTTCATCGTTCGGATCGAACACATTTGCAAACCCAAAATCAGTGATGATTATGTTCCGATTTCTATCCAACAGCAAATTCTCAAGTTTGAGATCACGATGGACAATTCCTTTCTTATGTAGATACCCCACACCAGATACCAATTGTGCAAATAGACGGCAGGCTGGGGGATCTTTCAGGAAGCGATGGTTGAGGATGAAGTCAAATAGCTCACCACCGGAAGCATACTCAAGAATGATACCAATATGGCGTTCAGTTTCAACCATCTCATGGAGACGGACAATGTTGGGATGCGAAAGTGTCCGTAGGATGGAAATCTCACGATGAATCTTAGAAAGACGGTTAGGGTGAGGAGAAAGTGAATCTCGTCGGATGAGTTTAATGGCAACCTTTAAGCATAATTAGTATCTCAATGATTGTGTTCTACCCAATTGGGAAAAAAAGCCTGAAAGGTAGGAAGTGAGGAATAAATACCTGTACACCGCCATCTCTTCTCCATCCTAACTTGACCTTTCCAAATTCTCCCTCTCCTAGAGTTTGACCTAAGATATACTCCCCAAACCTTGTTTCCTTTCGGGTGCTTCCAGTACTTCTTCCAGGCCCATCCGGTGTGTTGACAACTGCCAGCCCTGAACTCCCACCAGTAGCATCTCTGCCTCCCCTACTCCTGCTGCCGCTACCGGCGCTTCCGCTTGCTCCATCAGCTCCTTCCTGGCGCCTTCTGCCGCTGCTGCTTGTAGATTCTGCCTGCTGTTGAGAGTTACTAGAGGTGCCGTTCCTAGTTGGGTCCCTGGCAGAGTTTGACCTGCCCACAGGTTGATCCTTGCGGGGCTTGCTGGTCTCGTCGGCTCGTCGACGATCTCTATCCCTGTCCGACTTTTCTCTTTCTCGACCGTCGGTGCTCTGGCCGCGAGTACGTCCTGACTGTGATCTACTGCGTTCAGTGGAACCTCCAGGCGCCGCTGAAGGTGCAGTAGTTGCTTGACGCTGGCTGCTGGTCCTTGGAGGAGGAGCAATAGGTGGGCCTTGTTGGCTCATTGAGTTGTTGGAGTAGCTCTGCGAAGTAGAAGGACCAGGTTGGGCGTCGTTAGATGTTGCAGCAGCTGTGGGTGAAGGACCAGTGTAAGTTGTGGGCCGGGGATGTGGAGGTCTTCCAGCTCTAGGAGGTGAAGGGTTTGGTGGTGCAGGAGCGGCAGATGGGGAAGCCGTTGCAACGGATGACATGTTTTAGGAGTCTTGTATCACCGCCGCTGACGACGGAGGTCGAGTGGGGAATTATATTTACAGGAGAATGAGTATCGGAGGATTGGGTGACAGCGATGATGGTTGGCCCGGCCTTGCCCTTCGACCGGGGTGGGGGAGGGGGGGGTGGAGGGAGGGACTGAGAGCCGGTGAAGGAAGAAGATGTAATGTAGTGAAGGGAATGTGAGGAGGGTAGGTAGGTATGAAGATGGAAAGGGAAGAGGGACAGCAACAGTCCAGTTACCTTGGCAAATTTCCTTTCCGGGAATAAATTCTTAAAGGAAGAAGTTGGGTTGGGTTGGGTTTGGTTGCGAGGTCTGTTCGTGATGAATGAATGGTTGTTTACTCACTGAGCGGTTGCTGGACAACGGAGCACAGGACGACAGCGGGACGATCGATACGCGACGCCTCGAGCGGATTAACCGACTCCTATTGCCGTAAAAAAGAAGGGGTGCACCGAGCGACACAGAAGAAGAAAAGCGGGAAAAAGTGCGATAGAAATTGAAGAGAATGGAGGAGTACGTCGACGGAGTCAAGTTGGAGGGAGACTGTTCGGTGATGTTTACAATGAACAGCCGTCGACAGTGTGTCGTGGGGGTACGGGCTGAGGGAAAGAGAGATAGTGGTTGGTGTGGAGAAGTGTAGGAGGAGGACGGAGGAGCAGGTAGGAAAAGGGGAAGGGGGTGTGGCTTGCTGCAAAAAACGCGCTCTCCCGTCTTCGTTTTCGGGTTGGGTTGGGTTTTGGGGGGGGGGGGGTGCCGCGGTGCTTAGAGGGAGAGGAAGGTAGGTAGGATCGAGGAAGGGCAGGGCGGGCGGCGGTTGATAGAAAACGCAGACCTCCGAAGATGGATGGATGGCCGACCCTTTTCTCTTCTAAGCCTTGCTACCTTCGACTTCTTCTCAGGTTCAGATCCCCCCAGGGTTCCTGTTTAGAATACTCTCCGGGGTTTCCTGTATTCTCTTTCTAATTTCTCACCTTTGTTTTCTCACTTGAATGGATTAATTGGTGGTGGATGTGTAGTATGTAGAGTGGTAATAAAACATGTAGTATGGCAGGCGGTACACATACTAGTAGGATGCAGTAGAGAAACAGTAAGGAAGAATAAGAATAGCCAGCTAGCACCCCCCATTTCTTTATTTTTACCTCACTCACTCCCTCACTCACTCACCAACTTTCTTGCTGGGTTCCAGTTCTGTGCTGTAGTAGCACCACTGTCGATTATGGCGTCGATGGTTGCTTGATGATGATGATGCCAATGCCACTACTGTTGCTGCTCTCTGCTCTTAATCTGATCAACTCTTCTCACTCTTTCCCTTTCACTCCCTCACACTCACTCACTCACTCACTCGCCCACTGAACTCGATTCTCATGTCCCACACACACGCGCGTTCCCAAAACACACCACGCACACCACTGACTCGCTGTGATCTTGGTTGCCCTGCTGTTGCGGCTTAAGGGTCGGGTTGCTGCTCGGGGATTGGTGCTGCAGCACGGTCACCGCGTTTCCGATCCCCCAATCGCCAGCAAACACTTCGTCGCACAGCAAAACTGAGAAAGAAAGAAAGCAGTGCTGTTTTTCTTTTCTTTCTCCACTCACATTTTGAGCAGATGCACGCGCAAGATAATACACGCCCCAATTGAGATAGTGTGTGTGAAAGTATGTAGGTACAATATAGCTGTGAAGTTCTCCCTCCATTCACGAGATTCTGGGGTCGGTCGTCTCAAGGGCCCAGATGGCCTAATACAAAATTAAAGGGACACCACTAGCGCGACCCATTAGTGCAAGCGGAAACGATGAGACAGCCGATACCCCCTTCAGTCCTCTGAGACACCTTGAGGGGACTGAACTTCTTCGGCCGATGACGCCGGCCGTTTTCCTTTTGCTTGTGTTCAATTTCCTAAGCCCATCCAGGTTGATCAAACCACTCGCCGGCGAAAGAACGTGACTGACTTGACTGGATCTCTTTGACTGCAACGAATCTGAGTGGAAAACCCCGAGTGTTGAGAGCCCAAAAGAGTCCAAAAGAAGAAGACACCTCTCAACAACATTGACAGCATCATCACCACGATTCACGACCAGCACCACTGCCAACGCCTATCGACTTCATCCCCACCACATGCATATCATTTGTTTCCTCTTTTTTTCTTTCCCCCTCCCTAGCTACATACAACTTTTTTTTTCTTCACACCCCTCCTCCCTCTCCCCTCACCCCCCACCGTTAAGGGCCCCCAGCCGTACGCGCATGAAGCTGCATTCACATACTGCTGTACATGCCCTACCGGTATTATCACCGCAAGTACGTCCAATGGAATAGACTATATATTCACTAATGCCGCCACATGCTCGCCCCTCCATGTCCCCACAGTTAATGCAATGCAATGCCCGCGTCTCGCTAAAGCTGCCAAACCTCCCTCAGCCCTTTTTAACCACATCTCATCGCCAAACAGAGAAAAACTTGATATAAACGAGAAAATTAGCACGTAAAAATTATTTCCCTTTCTCGAAGCGTCTTAATCCTGGCCTCTACTGGACCAGACCAGACCAGAGGGAGGAAAGAAAAACCCTAAAACTAGAAAAAGCCAGGCTAGGTACTACTACTCTAACAGCCTTGTTATGCAATTCGACTATCGTGCATACAGTAGTCCCTTGCTTGGCCCTTCGGCAAGGCATTTAAATTTCGGATCCACGGCTAATGTACATACTGGCCTCACTGCGACACCGTTTAAGCGGAATTGATCCCGGCCGCCGCCTCAATACATGATATAAGAGGCTTTTCGTGTAATTTTTAGTACATAGTGCACACATGTCCTTTAGAGAGAAACAACTTCAATCCCCCCCACCTCCTCCCTTCCCTTCCCTTCCCTTCCCTTCCGTTCCTCTCTTCCCCATATGTCTCATAGGAGGTCTATCGAGTTTTTCAAATTGCACCCTACTCGTATCTAAATGTTTATTCACACCACACCTCAATTGCAATTGAAGTCCAGACCAACATCCATCCCATGCCCGGCTGACTCTCCTCAATCCGAAACAGGTGTGTCAGATAGTCTTAATTATGCGAGGACTGGGTTTGATGAAAGGCCATGAATATCACAAATCTTACTTCCCTATGGAGATGGAGAAACCTTAGAATTAACTTATAGCGGCGGCAGCGGCCCCTTTCTAAAATAAAATTTAAACTCAGTTGCTTTCTCCTTCCTTCTATCCCCCCCCCCCCCGGGGCTATATATCTGCCTGGCGAACTTTGCTCTGCACTTGCGGGCATATACCTTGGCTTCTGGACTGGGCCGGGTTTATTCTGCTGCTTCTGCTGCTGCAGTCTCTTCCAAAACTGCAGACTGCAAGTAACTCATCCATGATGGTGATGATTACAAACACGTCTGCATACCATCCCATATCTACCGGGATTCTCCATGCTCTACATTTAGGATCGTACCCTGCTCTACATCTTTCCCTTTCCCAAAACAAAAGAGGAAAGATTCTAGAAAATCTCCCGTTCCGTGCAAGAGCATACAGTAGCCGAACTTTTGTTTGTTTGTTCAACTCCCCGTTTGCGTCGTGCACTTGGCCGGGAGGCTCAATCTGCATCTGCCCGTCCCGATGTCGATGTCGTTCCCCGGAACTGCCGCCGCCGCGAGCGGGAGGTCAAACGAACGGGTGTTTGTTTTTTCTGATAACTAACACGGCTGTGTTTGGTTCTTTCATCTGTAGTTGGCTATGCTAAAAGCACAATTGGCTGAGCCGAGTATGATTGCCATATCTGCCACAAATGGGCGGATAGGTGTGCGGAAATCCCGATAGATACTGAAAGTCAAGCAAGGTTAAGGGCCCGGGTTACATATCTTGGGTAGGGGCCGGTAGGTACATAGTAACCACCATGCGGCGCGCACACAAGGAACAAAGAAGTCTCCAAGAAGGCCGGGTCCAACGATATAGCATCGACCCGTCAGTGATACCTCGATCCGGCAAATCTTTTTTTTGACAGATCTAGATGAGAGCCACCAGGTTTATCGAGGCTCCTCTTCTTCTAATCGTAAGCTACGATCAGAGGTTGGGCCGATTGATTGGATGTTGCAGGGTCACCCATTGCTGAAGCTGGGATGGATATGGATCGTGGAGTTTATATGACGCTGCCTCGTCGGGATATAGGATGTGGGCATTGGAGGGTTCAAGACAAAACATTTGGAACCCGACGTACGTACGTGGAGAGATGTAAGACTTGCATTGCACTGACAAGGAGATTTTTGGACAGTCTCGCAGCAGCGAGGCGGTTAACGTTGCATTGCTTTGCTTTGCTTCAACATCATCACGATCAGCTGTCCTGACGTGTCGTCGATAGGTGGGTGAGACCTTGTGAAGCCACGGTACGTGTGATGTACCTAGAGTGCATGTATGTACCTTATTGATTAGACATTGATATAAGACTCGCAATCCAATCATTGTCCAATATGGAGATACGACAATTGCACCTCATACAATCGAATCTACTCCTTCCAATATCAATATCAATATCACCAATATCCAATATCCAATATCCCATCACACAAACCCATCTACTCCTTCCAATATCCAATATCACTCCCGCAATATCCCATCGTCCCAATCCCTTACGTCGTCCCCCTTTGCAGCTCATCAAACTAACAAACACAAAGCTATCAAATCCGGATACGTATACAGCTATATAAAATCACCGGTCTGTACCAGCAAAGGGCGGAATTCAAATCTCGTTTCGAGAAAGTTTGTTTGTATCTAGGGTTTTCTCATTACCGAGTTTCAGCTGTCACTGATCTAGAAAGCCGCCCCCAACCCCCTGCATGCAGCTCAAACAAAACACGCGTTAATATTTGTCTGTTATCGCGTTTGTATTAGGTAGCGCGTTTATTCTTACGATTGGTTCCGGAGGAAATGATACGCGATCAGTGCCCTGACTACACACCAGTACCTACGTTATTGCACGGAGTAGTAATTAGAAATTAGATACAT